AGGTCTCCTCCCACTGTGCAATAAATCCTGCTTTTTGGAAAAAAAAAAAGATCAGACTGGGCCATACCATCTAGGGCCTTAGCCAGTGGAAAATAATTTAGATTTTACTTACAGTAGAAAACCTTGGAATTTTTTTAAAAAACCACTGTTTATTAATAGTTGGTAAACTTTACAAATTCCAGGCATGTTGCCCAGCCTCTGCTCTACCCAGTCATCTATTAGAGTTAACATCTATTGCTAAAACAAGTGCTTAACACTTGCATAAGTATTAAAGATTACTCTCACGCAAGCTAAGTTTTATTTAAGCTTATGTAAAATAAAGTGACATTAAACACACAGGAGCAATGTGAAATAGAAGAAAGTGCTCTCTGATTAAGAATTTGGTACTCTCTTTCACTAAATTGCATATAAGGTGGTTTCAGCTGAGGGTTTTTTCTACAACCCACCATGTAAAAGAAAATTCTTAGTTTCCCATTTTTTCCCCTCCATCCCCTTTCCCCTTTCTTCCCTTTCCTTGCCATCTGTTTCCTTTCTTTTCCATTGACATTCTATTTCTCCCTCCTCTGTGTTTTCTTCTTCTCTCTTCCCCTCTGCTCTTTTTCTTTCTCTGTGCATTTACTTTCTTCCCTCTATATCCTTCAATTCTCTCTTTTATCTCCCTGTCAATGTTGAAATCATTACGTGCTAATAGAGTCAAGTAAATTGCAATGGTAAGGAAACGGTCTGATGTCTACAGCAGAAAAATGACAAATGATGACTTTTGCCTTTGTTTATACCACCTTAGAAGTTGCGGAGCTGAGGAAGGATCAGATAAACATACACTCCAAAAGACCAGCTGAAAGCTGTTTAAATATTTCAATTAGGGGATGACAGCTTTTATACTGGGTTTATAGGAATAGAGATTATTAAAAAGTGGTTGCATTTGGGTTCTATTTTGGAGGCAGAATCAATGGAAACTAACTAAGGGATTGGATATGGGATATGGAAGAGCAGAAGGAACCAAGGATGACCACAGGTGTTTAGCTTGGCATCTGGGTGAATGGTACCATTTACTGTGTCTGAATAAATATCTGAGAAAAATCCATGTGGGTGAGAGGGGAAGTCACTCAGAGAATCAGCAGCGGTATTGACCTTAGATAGGAAAGACATCTCTTTTATGCAGTAGGAAGAGAAATAGAGTAAGCAAGTAGAGACGTAGGTAAATTGGTAGCATTGGGGGTGAAATAATTCTTATGCAAAAATATGATAAAGGACAGAAGACTTATTACTCTAGGGAAAAACAAAGAACCAGGGAATATCTGGTAACTATTTTCAAGTATTTGAAGATATCCATTCATTAAAAACATTTATAAATTTTTAATCTTGCCAGATATCATTCTGTATACAGGGAATACAAAGATGAAAGACATCTCCATTCTAGTTCAGCTTACGATAGGGTAAGCACAATTAAGATACAATATAATAAATTTTTATATGGGGTATTCAATATAAGAATGGAAACATAGAGAATGACATATTGAAGTCATCATGGGCTTTTTCATTCATGGGCTTTTATCAAGAGAAGAATTATGTTTTTTATATGGTGCTGTTGTGGGAAATACATACCAAGGTCTAGAAGGTACACACCTTATGATACACAGAACTGTTCAGGAATGGCTTAGAATGCTGTAAATCCCATGTAAGTAGAGATATCTCAGAAAGTGGTCATGATAAAGTGGGAATATTATAAGTGGTGCTCAAATACCTGAGTAGTGATTTGACTAGGCTAGATGAGCATTAGGCTTCCTTTCGAATCTTAGAGTCTGTGTTTATATTACTACAATGTGTTGAGTTTGAAAAATTTGTCAATGCTGTGAACATTAACAAAAGTATAGAAATGTATGGGGAGGTTATTAAGAAGAGGAAAGAGAAAAGGGAGAGTACTCACTATTTTTGAGTCATTTTAAATATGAAACAATGTTCTTTCTTATTAAGCTTTCCAGTAGCATAGCAGTAAGCATTGTTGAGAAATGAGATCCCAGCAAAAGATCTGTGAGACTGCAAGGCAGCAGACATTATTGCTTAACAAACTATGTATTGTTCTTTTTTTCAGCTCCTCAAGAAATCCAAGGTGATCAACTCAATTATGAGTTGAAGCTTTGCCCTCCTGATGATTTTCATAAACTGAGGACAGAAAAAGCAGATGAGGTGATATGCTTTGGAATAGGGGGACAAGAGATTGTTCATTCAGACAAAACACTGGGAACTCACTGAGGTGTTTTCATTCTTGCCACAAATGCCTTAAGATCAGCACAAAGGAAATAGAATGTTGTTCGATCAAGTGGCCTTCACATGACATTGCTTGCATCTTCCACCTCATTTGGGAACATAGTCCAAACTCCTCTCCACCACCTAATCAAAGCCAAATTCCTGGAGTGGACACTTAGACCACTTAGACCTAGTATACGACTGTAGCCTGGTGTCCTTTCTCTTTCCTCATGGGGGTACATTTTCACTCCCAAGATTTCTGTTCACTCACTACATACTTATATTGGCCTGTTGAGTCTGAACCTTAGAGGCAAAAGGGAAGAGGCCGGGCAACTCCTTCCATATCTGTTGTTGTTTTTTTCTTTTTTTAATTTTAAAGATGTGGGATACAAGTCAGGATTAGGTGTATAAGTGGTCTACGTACAGCTGAAGTTTGGGTCTCTGTTCATTGCAGATATATCCGGTGATAGAGAAGAAGGGCCGAACACGCCAGGCCCTCATCATTTGCAACAAAGTATTCGACCATCTTTCTAATCGATATGGTTCTGAAATTGACGTTTTGGGGATGGAAGACCTGCTTGAAAACCTTGGATACTCAGTAACTGTAAGGAAGAATCTCACAGCTCAGGTAATGGCCCCAGAGACTGGAGTAAGCTATTACCTTTTAGATAACTTTCAGCCTCTTCCTTGGCAGCAGCAAGAATAACACATATGATATTAGAGGAATTGCATTCGCTCCAGAATCAGATACCCTGAATTTCCATCTTCTCCAATGCGCAATCACATAGCAAGGATTTAGAGAAATTCTATATAACAGCCTTTTCCTAAAACTGGTGGGTATCTCTGAAATTCTCAATCTGGAAGACATTTATGACTTAATAGTCTGGGTGAGACAAAAGCTTTGAACCCTGAAGTTGCCAGATACTTACAGAATGAGCTTGTGACACTTTTGTCATGTCAATAACATAATTCTAAATGGAAAAGCAAGTATATGATTTTAAAAAATTGCATATGCCTGTGTGTGTGTATATATGTATACATATATACACAAATACACATGTATAATGAAAAAGTAATTCTTGCTCTGCTCTGGGTGACCTTAGACAGGCCGTTTTAAACCTAACTTTCTGCTGTTTCATGAAGGGTGAAGGGATTTGGTGTTTCTAATTTTTGTCAGTAGAAAAGAAAAGTGCCTCTATCATTCTTTCTTTTTAAATAAAAACTTACAGGAACCCCATTGTAAAACAGATTAAAGCAAAGTGGTCTTATTGGTGTCTTGTCATGTCACTTGGTACTTATTATATTCCATCTCCCAGCATCTCCAGAAACCTAAGGTTCTAGGCAGGCATGGTGGTTGACACCTATAATCCCAGCACTTTGGGAAGCCGAGATAGGAGGATTGTTTGAAGCCAGGAATTTAAGACCAGCCTAGACAACATAACAAGACCCTCTATCTCTACAAAAAATACAATAGAATAAAAATAGACAGGAGTGGTAGTGCATGGTTGTTGTCTCAACTAGCTTGAAAAGCTGAGACAGGAAGATTGCTTGAGCCCAGGATTTAAAGGCTGTAGTGAGCTATGATCCTATGACTGCACTTCAGCCTGAGTGACAGAGTGTTACCCTGCCAAAAGAAAGAGAGAGAGAGAGAGAGAGAGAGAGAGAGAGAAGAAGGAGAAGGAGAAGGAGAAGGAGAAGGAAGGAAGGAAGGAAGGAAGGAAGGAAGGAAGGAAGGAAGGAAGGAAGGAAGGAAGGAAGGAAGGAAGGAAGGAAGGAAAATGTAAGCTTCTATTGAAAACCACTGGGTTAGATACTATATCAAAACCCTACTAAATTTAATATTCTATACATCTAAATTTTCTGATTTTATATCAGAACACTATCTTACAATTGCATTCAGTCCAAATTATCTGATTTCTTGGTGCTAGCTCATTTTTGTGCTCCCATCTACTACCTGACTACAAATTACACTTGGTGAGTGCCTCGCTAGTGACTCTGGACTCTCTTTCAGGAAATGGAAACAGAACTAAGGCTATTTGCTGCCCGCCCAGAGCACCAATCCTCAGACAGCACATTCCTGGTATTCATGTCACATGGCATCCTGAATGGAATCTGCGGAACTAAACACTCGGATCAGGAGCCAGATGTTCTTCATGACGACATCATCTTTGAAATTTTCAACAACCGCAACTGCCGGAGTCTGAAAGACAAACCCAAAGTCATCATCATGCAGGCCTGTCGAGGCAGTGAGTCTCAAATTTGACAGTTGTAAATCTTGATTTGGCGACCCTCATGAGTAGCTGCGTGATTTTTTTCTGTTAGCCGTGTTTAGCCTTTTTTTTTTTTTTTTGGCAGATATGGGGGAGGAATACATTTTAGTATTTCTCTCTCTCTTTTTTTTTTTTTTTTGAGTTGGAGTCTCACTCTGTTGCCTAGGCTGCAGTGCAGAGGCATGCTCACAGCCACCTTAGCATCAACCTGCTAGGCTCTGGCGATCCTTCCACCTCAGCCTTCCAACTAGCCAGAACTACAGGCACCCACTACATGTCTGGCTAATTTTTTGATTTATTGTAGAGATGGGGTCTTGCCAAGTTGCCCAGGCTGTTCTCGAACCCATGGCCTCTGGCAATTCCCTAACCTCGGCCTCCCAAGTTGCTGGGATTACCAGCTTAAGCCACTGAGCCTGGCCTAGTATTGCTCTCAAGAGCAGACCAGAAAGAAGTCATATTAAGTTTGTACCATTTCTTAAATAAGCTATAAGTACAACAATGAGAAATGCCCTGATCATTTGGAAATATGTCGTCAACAAGGTGATTCTAAACTTAAATGGGCTTTCTATTTTTCCCAGTTGGTGAGATAGATTTTCTAGTAGTAAGATATACTTGCATTTATAATTAACTCCACGCTGAAATGTGCAAAAGGAAAGGTGTAATGGTGTGTTGGGGGGAGGAGGTGTGTGTGTAAATTTTGCATCTTTTATAAGACATGATGTCTCTCCCAGGAGGTTCTGGGATTGTCTGGATGACCACAGATGGGCCAGATGTCACTACAGATACACATAACCAGCTCTTAAGGTATAAAATCTCAAATGATGCTATTATGAAGGCCCATGTGGAAAAGGACTTCATTGCTTTCAAATCCTCAACACCATGTAAGTTACCTCAGAGAGGATAATTTCTAAATCTGCTATTTGTTTCTAGTTATGGACTTGGTTATGATCATATCTTATCACGGAGAAGAGTAATTCTTCTCTAATTTGTGGAATATTTTAGGTGGAAAAGAGATTTAAAATACTAACATTTCTGTAGGTAGAAAGCTATGAATCTTGATTTGTGGGGAAACTTTTAGTCAACAGGATTTTTAGGATGTAGACTTGAAATAGTCTAACTAAAAAATTGAAGATTTGCTGTTTTGTTTTGCTTTTAAAATATGGCAGTGGCACAAAAATGTATCATTTTTTCACAATTTATGCCACCGCCAACCCCCATCAATTACTAGCAATAAAACATGCCAACCAGTAAGTGTTGTATTTGGATCCACACATCTAATAACTCTTGGTCTATTATTTGAATCTAGTATTAGGAAATTAGTTAACATTTCGATGTCTATCTTTAGGATAATGCAGTCAATGAATGAAAATAAATAAAATGACTTTTGCAAGAAAGTCATAGTAGAAGGTACAAATAGAGACTATTCTTGGTCACTTATCACCCTTGTAGAAAATCTCTTGAATGGTTATCCATGATATTAACTTATACAGGCGATTTTAGAAAGCTAGTTTACAAAATTCACAGTTCTAAGTGTTCTAGCATAGTGATTGCAAATTTGAGTGATCTTAGAAGTCACTTAGGGATCTTGTTAAAATGTAAATTTCTTATTTAGGAGGTCTGGGGTGGGGCGTGCGATTCTGTCTTTTGAAAGAGCTTCCTTGTGATGCCAGCACTGTTGGTAAATGGCTACATGTGAGTACTGAGGGATTAGAGAACCCGCTGAGGCTGTCTAGCCTGGGGAATAGACAGCTAGAATCACTCCCTTTCTATTTATTTTATATATTGGAGTTTTAATAAGATTTTACTTGAAAGCAGAGTTCTACATGTTTAGCTGTTAAAGGAAGTTGAAATGGCATATACAGCCTGATACATATTCTAAAAGACTGTTTAATTTAATTATGGAAATACAGCCTAATGTACAAAATTCTTGGTTTCATTTTTTTCTTTGAATATATAATTGTGTGCTAAGACTGGACTAGGTGTAGGATATATGATGCCCTATTAAAGCAGACACGGTTACCGAACCTTTTGGAGTTTACAGTTAGGCCAGGAAGGCAGAAGTTAATGGGGGGGGGGGGGGGCGGTTGGGAATAAGCACCAGATAACAGGAACAAATAATATATATCAATTGTGATAAAAGTTTTAAAGACAAATTTGTGCTCACGTCTTGAAAGATGAAGGAGTTAACCAGGTCAAGGGTAAGAGAGAAACACTCTAGAAAGGAAAGGCAGTGTACATGGAGAACCTAAGACAAAAAGAAGCCTAGGAGAAAGGGCGGGGTACAGCCAGAGAATGCTAGCAGGGAGACTGGTGAACCAGGCAGGGACCAGAACATCTGAGGTCTTAAATGGTCCTTTATACTAATAGTACTGGAAAATTCTGGGGAACTGTTAGCAATGAAATGATAAGATTTTAAATTTTATACAGTGTTTCTTTGGGCTCTAAGGGGGAAGGATTATAGTCTAGCAAGAGTGGATATGGGGGTCAGGTTCAATGTTATTGCAATACTACAAGCCACAGGTGTTAAAGATAGTCTTGAGGTGAAGTAAGATGTTGACTCTAAGAACTAATTAGTGTATACAACTAACATGGCCTGATGATTTGGTGGATTTTTAGGTGAACAAGAAGGTATGATAAAGGTGGCTCCATTGGGCAAGTAGATGACTGTAGTGTATTAATTAAAACTGGAATTCTACAAGGTTTGAGATGCCATTGGCATACTTTGTGTCAAAAGTTGCACAGTTGTATATTTCAGAGAAGAGGTCTCTATTAGAGACAGTATTTTGTAAGATGCTGGCCTCAGAATGATATTTAATCGTAAAAATGGATTAAATCATCTAAGAGTTGAGAATAGCATGATAAGAGGTCCCAAAACTGAGGCTCAGAAGACTCCAGCATTCAAGATCAGAAATAGAAGGATTCGCCAGTAAATTTGACTTAAAAAGTAGGATCTTTCCTCATAGAGGAGAATAAGAAAAAAACAAAAACAAAAAGCAACAACAACAAAAAACTAAGAGCATGTGCTGTCAAAATTACCAACAAAAAAATCTGTTTCTGATGTGAATGAGAGATCAGGTGAAGGTGAGGCCTGATGAATGACCATTACATTTAGTGACATGGAGGTCAGGGTGACCTTGGGGAAAACTATTCGATGAAGTTGGTGCAGGAGGTAGGAGGAAGAAACCAGATAAGAGGAAATAGAATGAAGAGTATAGACAAAATTGAAAATTGGACTGTAGAAAGGCAGGCAAATAGGATGCTACTTCCACGTTAAAATGGTAATTAAGGAAGTGTTACCTTTTAAAAAAAATACAAAAATAACTTGGTCACACTGAAAAGACAGAGACGTCGTCAGTGAAAATATTTTTATGTATCATAACAGAAAGTACAAAAAGACGAAGAAGAGGCCCAAGATCAAGGAATGTCTCTATATATTATATATATTATTATAATTTATTATATATATATTATAAAATAGTGCTGAAAGGACTTAAACTCTTTTCTCCTATTGCAATTCTCGAAGCCATAACTTTGGTCTAGCCTACTAGAAACATCTGGGAATTTTTGAGTAACAATCCATAATGATTTTCTCTGGGCCTGCTGTGGAAATTGGAGACAGTCTTTATTCAGCATTGGTTTCCCTCCCTTCTCTGAAGCAACAAAGTCAGACTGTCTCAGAATTATGGTTCCAGGAGCTTTCCACATGAATACATAAGCCATGTCCTCCAATATCTGTGTAACTTTTATTTGCAGATAATGTTTCTTGGCGACTTGATGAACAGGGCTCTGTCTTCATTTCCCTACTCATCTACCACTTCAAAAAGTATTCTTGGTCTCATCATTTGGAGGAAATCTTTCGGAAGGTAGGAGTTTTCTTTTCATTTCAATGTCCTGCCTGAGAAAACTTTGTAGAACCACTTGCAATTTCTTTCTTTCTTTTTTTTGTAGGAAATCTTAACACTCTTAAGTCATCTTGATGCTTCTTCTTTTATTCCAGGTATATTCAAAGCAGAAGTATTCCAAAATACTACACAGAAACCAGTGTGTTTTCCCAGTAACCTGATTCTATAGCTTTGCTCACCCAGGGAATTCTTTTTAGGATACTAATTCATTTGTGTATGTGCTATATCTAAGGAAAAGCTAAAAATAGCTTCTGTTTATGCCACCTAGCAACAGCTTGAATATACGCCATAAGTTTTCTCACTCATGAAAGAGAAGTCATATTTTCTTTCTAGAAATCTCTAAAGGTTTTCTTTACTAATTTAGGTTCAACGTTCATTTGAGATCCCAAATGTGCTGACCCAGATGCCCACCATCGAAAGAGTATCCATAACACGATATTTCTACCTCTTTCCTGGCAATTGAAACCGATAAGAAGTATCTCAGGTAAATGTTTCCTAGAATTAGATTATGGATGCTCCTTGCTCAGAGTTTGTAACAGAAAGTCTGGATAGAATGGAGAACAATAATGGAGTACCAACTGCCCCTTAATTACAGAGGCTCATGTGACCTGTCTTTTCTCTGTGGCTTGCAGTACAACCCTGTTTCATTTCACTTCAGCCATAGTTCAGCCATGGTTGCACAAGAAATGTGAAGTCCAATGGTGACCAGCTAGAAAGCATTCTAGTTCTCATTTCTCAAGGACCCACTCAGTGAGTAGAGACTATTTAGTTCTGATGCATTCACAAAATAAAATAACTGGAAATGGTATGCATAGCTGGTGTTGGTCCTCTGCACAAAGAATTCTGTTTTGCTGTGTCACATTCTCCCATTTATGAAAAGGCCTACTGGATACCACAGTGGCAACCGACTAGGAGTCAAATCTATGATGAAAAAATGAGGCCAGAGCACAGATCTTCTCATCCAGAAATGATATGTCTGGAGCCCTTTTGTGAAGGTCTTTCTCACAAAAGAGATTGGTTGTATTTATATCTTACCTCTAATAGACAGATTGCTCATGCCTTCTTCTCTTTACTTTCTCTAGAAAAATAAAGGTGTTGTGGTCTCTGTGAATTCAACCTTTAAAATGTCAATCTTTAAATTTTATTTTATTTTATTTTTTGTTGCAGTCTCACGCTTGTCCCCCAGGCTAGAGCACAGTAGCATGCTCACAGCCACCGCAGCCTCATCCTGCGAGGCTCAGGTGATCCTTCTGCCTCAGCCTTCCAAGTAGCTGGAACTATAGATGCATGCCACCATGCCCTGCTATGCCATGTCAATTTTTGATAAAAAGTATTTTATGCTTGACTTTTCAACTGCCTGCTTTATATAAATACCAGGTTAAAATAAATCTCACTTTGTTGATGCAATAATACTTGTTTTATTTTATTATAAAAGGAAGTCACGCTCATTGTGGAAAATAATTAAGTATAAAAAAGCACAAACAAGAAAAAAATGAATAAAGAGCCATTGTCAACTTTTAAAAACTATATATAAAAAAGTACTTATTTTTATATAGCTCATCTATATTGCATTCAATTTTGTGTCTCTTTTCTTTTATTATTGTGTCATAACCACTACATTGCTAACAGTGTCCTAAATACAAGTTTTGATTTTATAATAACTATCAGGCATATACAGTACATATTTTTTAAATTTATCCTACTTTTAGATGCTGATTTCAAATATTATTTCTTATACATTGTATGATGAATATTTTATATTTTTACTTTTGTCTGCCTACAGATTTATTTTCTTAAAATGTATACCTAAAAGTGGAATTACTGGGTACATATTTTTACATCTTTTGAGATATTATTGTCAAAATTGTGTGCCAAATAATATGCACACAAGAAATTTAAGATTATGATTTATATATGTGTTGTTTTAAGAAGCATTACTAACTTAATAGGTAAAAATAGTTAATTTCTTTGAGAAATATATATAAATCATATTAGCTTATGTTCATGAAACATTTTTTAGTTAGTTGTTTTGTATTGAATTATGTAATTTTGTATGACATATGTAATATTGTATGACATATGAAACATTTAAATTTTCAGGTTGGAATCTATTTACATTTCTTTCTATGTTTGTTTTTATTTTTTAAGCTTAAATATTGTATTAACACCTATAATGCCTTACAATTACTTTTAAGTAATTTTAAAATAACTTATCCATTTCTACATTGTATAAATGTACCCTTTTCTAAAATTCTGCGATGGTGCTGTGAACTGTGAGATAAATTTTTTTTTTCAATTTTACCACTTGTCAAAGATACATCCCTTGAATTATGCTTCTTTTTCTTTCTCATTATAACATTGTCTGTACTATTAATTTAGATTGTGCTGTGAGCTATTTTTGGCATAAGCATACAACAGGTGAGCTACTTTTCCTCCATGATAGAAAACAAAAAATACACAGGGCTCTGGAAACATGGTCTAGAAAATCAGGTAATAAATCTCTCTGATTAGCATCTTTCTTGTGTGATGATTCCTTCTTTTAAATCCTGCTTTTACACATTACCATTTGTGGTACTTTTAATACATGAGTTAACTTCCCTGATACAGGTTTCCAGGCATGAAGTGAATACACTAACACCTGACTTAGGTTGAACAGGTATAATTTTTTTTTTTTTTGAGTTGGAGTCTCACTCTGTCGCCCAGACTGAAGTGCAGTGGCCGCTCCCGGTCACCGCAGCCTCGACCTGCTGGGCTCCCACCATCTGTCCGCCTCAGCCTTCCGAATAGACGGAATTACAGGCACGCGCTACAACGCCCGGCTGATTTTTTGATTTATTGTAGAGATGAGGTCTCGCTGCCCAGGCGGGTCTCGAACCCGCGGGCTCAGGCAATCCACTCACCTCAGCCTCCCAAAGGCGCGGGATTACAGGCTGAGCCACCAAGCCTGGCTAACAGGTATAATTTTATGTGCGTGTAACGCCTCCCTATTGCACTCCCTATCACACAGTGGCAATTGTTTCTGGTAAAAATTCATGATTGCTACATGCACAGACTCATTTATCAGGGCTTATGCCGTATCACAAAGATCCTCATTGTTTGGTAATCTTCATTAGTCCTCCCTTGCTCACACCCTCCCTACCTATTCTCATCTTGTTCGTGCTTCCAGGTGAATTTTAGAGGGATTTTATGTTTTCTCATAATTAAAATGGAATTTTAATGGAATTTAAATATGTACCTTTGATGATCTAAGATGATATCTTATGAACTTATTAAGTCACACATTTTTTATATTTAATCAAAAGTTTACATTTTAATTTGTATGACTTTCTCAAATTTCCAGAGAAGGATATTCCTATCCATACTGTTTTTTGTTATTATTTTGGATGAGAATTTTTTTTTCTTTATTGTTTCTAACTGATTATGACTGTGAATGTAAAGAAAGCAAAATGACGGGTACCCTTGAATCTTATATACAAACATGTTTTGCAGCTTTATTGAACATTCACTGATCTAAACTTGTAAAATTTTGTTATCTGCAAATGCAGATTTATTTCTACTTTACTGATATTCACAGCTCTTTTTTATATTTATAGTTTTATATTTACCATATTTCTAAATTAAGATAGCAAATTAAAATAATGATAATGGGCATTCTTAATTATTATTTTAATGAGAGTGACTCCAGTATTTCATCATTAAATATATTTCCTATTTAAGCTAGTTTTTTTAAATAGTGATAACAAAATGTGTACTGTTTTCCATAATGGAAAATTTGTCTTTCTTTCTGCGATAGTATCATTTAAGGTTCTCAAGTACCACAGAATAGAGCAAATAGGAAGTATAATATTCATATTTGGACTACTGACATGATTATATAAAGTTGTCTAACACCAAGCAGTGATCACATTCTGTGCATCTTCTTTGTCATCGTGATAATTTATTTGTTCTACAAATTGAAATTGTGCTAATATTTAATTTAGAAATCCCATATTTATGTTTATAGGTGGGATTCACATCTATCTTGTTTTTTTTTTATTTTGTTTTAATATTTAATTTTTTCATTTTAAAGATGGGGTACAGTTCGGGGTGTGGTACACAAATGTTCATTAGCAGGTACCCTTGTTGATGAGGTGTGCCCTTCCTCTCCCCTGGCAGTTTCCAACTACTGTCAACCCCTTTCTTATACTATTATGATAATTGTTCAAGGCCCACTTATGAGTGAGAACACGTGGCACTCAGTTTTTTGTTTCTGTGTTAGATCAATAAGTATTATAGACTCTAAGTCCTTTTAAGTTGCTGCGAACTTCATAATTTTGTTCTTTATGGCTGTGTATATTCCACTGTGTATATGTACCACAATGTTTTTATCCAGTCCTCTTTCAAGGCAGCAAGGTTGGTTTCATGTTTTTTGCTTTCGTGAATAACGCTCAATATTAACATGCATGTGCAGGTATCTTTTTCATAGTTATTTGAGTTCCTCCAGGTATATTCCCAGAAGGGGGATTGCTGGATTGTATAGGTGGTCGATTCTTAGATGTTTTAAAAAATCACCAAACTGTTTTCCACAGTGGTTGTATTAGTTTACATTTCCACCAACAGTGTAGAAGTGTTTCCTTTTCGCTGCATCCTCTCCACCATCTATTGTGCTTTGATTTATTGATGGTGGCTACCCGGATTGGAGTTAAGTGGTATCTCAGTGTGGTTTTAGTTTGCATTTCTTTGAAAAAATATTTGCCAACTATATATCTGACAAAGGTCTAGTATATAGGATATACAATGAAGTCAAACATGCTGAAAAGAAAAAAACAAACAGCCCCATTATAAAGCAGGCAAAAGAAATGAATAGACACTTCTCAAAAGAAGACTTATGAACAACCAACAGATATATGAAAAAATGTTTAGCCTCACTACTCATCAAAGATTTATTTTTAACTTGGCCACAAGAATATTTTTAAATAATAGTGTTTTCCAATGAACTAAAAGTAGTATCTGAAAATCTTTGATTCCTGAGTTCACTTATAAGTTCACCTATAAATACATATAAAGGCCAGTCTAAATTTGTTCCTAAGTTGCAACTTTTAAAACTATCAAAATATTGTAAAATATTTAAAAATTATTAATATATTTCTCCATATGTCTATTCAGTATTTTAATTTTCAATATATATGAAAGTCTTATTATGCACAACTAAAAAAATTTATTTTGTTTTTATCTTGAGAATATTAGCAATTATGTAATAATATTCAATTAGAACCAAAATTTATAAAAAGGAAAGCACAGACCACCTATATTCTACAAGATGATTTCCATCTAGCTATCATTCTCTCCCCATATACAAACTCACAGATATATTTAGAAACATACTATACAAGCTACTCTATGATTCTTTTACATTTTTCTTAAAAATAATCCCCAAAGATACAGTGAATAACAAATAAGTAAAAAACAAATGATATAAACATCATACATTCAAAAGTCTTGGCAACAACAGTCCAAGGCAGAGGTGGGAGCTCTATGATGTTTCACACAAGGCTGTTCTTTCTGTCATTCCCCAGTTAGTACCTTCCTTTCAAAGGTCACTTCTTGGTTTAAGATGACTGCTGGCTAATTTTTGTTTTATTTTTTGTAGACATGAGGTCTTGCTACATTGCCTAGGCTGGTCTCAAACACCTGGGCTCAAGCCATCCTCCCACTTCAGCCTCCCAGAGTACTGGGATTACAGGCCTGCACCACCTGCCAACCCATATTCTTTTTAGAATGGAAGGTTGGTGAAAGACATGAACCACTTGCAGCTGAGGTGTGTCACCATTCACATGGTTGATCTGGGAAGCAGCAAGCCCACACATCCTCCACGTCCGGCAGATTTTCTTATGCAGCTTCTTCAACTTCTGGGTCAGATGAATATTGAGTTCCGTGTCTGAGTGTAGCATTAACAAAAGCAGTCATTACTATCATTAAAGGACATTCCAGCCACCAATAAGGAAGAGAGGGGAAAAGCACATGTTCCTTCCCTTTCAGGGAGCAAATTATGCTTATAATCTGTTTAACCAAAATTTAGTCACAGGGTAATTCTTTGCTGTAATGAGGTTGGAAAATGAAATGTTTATTGCATATTACCACGTCTACCTAAAAATGGAGAATTCTTTTATGAAAGGGAAAATGATATTGGGTCCCAAATAACTGTCTG